TTCATCATAATTTTTTTTTTTTTTTTTTTTTTTTTTTTTATACTTGTACGACTCCTTTTGGGTCAACATACTGCCAACATTTATCTCTTAAAGCATCTGGTCTTTTAGTTTCTTCTATATCTAAAATATTATTTGTTATTCCTTTTTTATCAGATGTATTATTAAAAGCTTTATTACAAATGCTTATTTTGTATTTATTTGGTATTTTATTGAGAATTGGTTGAGATTGATGATGATTTATTGAATTTTCGTTGTTTTGATTCATAAAATAAAATTTAGAATTTTTATTCTGATCATTTAATAAGTAATGATGCATTTCATTATTATCTATAACTTTTTGTTCATCCATTACGTTTCTTAAATTCAAAGTTTTAGAATTCGGATTATCATTCCTATTTTTTTGTTTAACTAATAAATTTTCATTATTTAGTATTCGTAAATATGCATTTATATTTTTATTATCATTTCTTGACTGAGAAAAGTAACTATTTTGATTTAAATTGTTGGAATCTATATTAATGTTTTTATTCATTGAATTAAAATTTCCGAAATTCATAAAATCTTTCCCTTGTGAAAATTGATATTGCTTACTTAATTGCTCTTGTTGTTTTAAATGGTCAGAATGATTTATTGGGTTCGGTTGATTGGTTATTTGATCAGAATGATTTCTTTGTTCTGATTGTTGATTTATATTAGGATATGTTACTTGTTCTAATTGATTAGTTTGGTACGGATAGTTTATTTGATCAATTTGATTTGATTGTGGTTGATCTTTTTGATATAAATTCATAATATTTTTTATTTTTTGTGCTAATTCATCTTGTAGGTTATAATTGTTTGATTGTAGAGAGTTATTTATCTTCCTTGATAAATTCTTCATATCTATATAATCTTCATTTAATTGATCATTATTTTCTGATTCTTTTTTTTTTTTATTTTTCAGCATATCAAGTATAAGATATTTTGGAGTCAAATTTTTCTGATTATCTCTATCTAGTTCATCAGTTTCTCTATTAACTTTATTATCATAAGATTTATTTATTATGTTTAAAAGAGGAGAAGAATTACCATTGTCATTCATGTCAAAATAGTTTGAATTTACATTATTATTATTATTATTATTATTATTATTATTATTGTTATTATAATTTGGCTTCTCTTGATCATTATCATTTGTATGATTTAAAAAATTAGTGTTTTGTTCTTCATCTATATTTATTTTACTTAATAGATATTTTTTTTGTGCATCACTTATATTCATTTTGTTTAAAAACATAATTTTTTGTTCTTCACTTATATTACTATTCATAAATTGTTCATTCATTTTTTGTAATATTACTTTTTTTTGAAGTTCTAAACTGTTAATATTTTTAATTGGAGAATTACCAGTTTTATTATTATTATTACTGTTAGTGATTAATTTATTATCTGATGAAGTAAAATCATTTACATTATTTGTATTAGATTCTGTATGTATTTCATTCTTGTCTATATGTTTTTCAATACTATATATAAAATGTACAATTTCTTGTTTGTCATAATTTTCGCTAATTATTTTTTCTTTTTTTTGTTGATATAAGTTATCATGATGTTTTAATATTACTATAAACTGTTGTAATAAAGATTGATATTTAGCTTTATTGTTTGTAAATTTTTCTTTTAATAAATCATTTGCATAATCTAATATTAACTTTATTTCTTTTAGTTTATTTATAATTTTTTTTTCTCTATTATAATTCTCCAAAATATTAGCAGGAATATTATTTTGTTCATATATTTGAATTTTGTAATGTATCCAGTATAATTTGATTTGTATTTGTTGTATGTTTAAAGAATGATAACATTTTAATAATTCACAAAAATCTAAATTATCTAACTGAATTTTTAAATTTAAAGGAATATCTTCTTTATTTAATATTTTTTCTTCTTTATTATTTAGACATACATTATTTTGGTTTAATCTACTTTGTTTTAGTAGTAATTCCTTTATAAAATGTTCCTTGTTATATTCACTTATATCATTTATTTCTGTTTTCACTTCGTTTATAGAAGTGTTAATATTATCTTTTTTTTTTTCAAAGTTAGAATCTATCATTTCCCTTTTAAAATTCATTTGTTGTGCATATTCATTATAAATATCCATATTTCTTGATATATTTCTATTTATATTTTGTAAATTATTATGATCACACATTGATGAATTTTGATTTTTTGGTACTATATTTACTTTTGCATGTGGTAAAACTTTCTTAAATAAATTTAATAAATCCTCATTAGTTTGATAACCCATTAAATTTTTTAAATTATCGTTTTTATTAGCATTATCTATTATATTTTTTTCGTAATTTATTCCATTTCTTATATGTTCATTATCTAATTCTTTATTTTTTAAATTATTATCTGAATAAAGTAAAGATCTTGAATTCACACTTTTTATGTCATTTGTGTTTTGTTGATATAAATTGCTATAAATATTGTTTTTTGAAGGATTATAAATATTAAAATCATTATTTATTTCAATATTATCATTTTGTATTGATTGTTTTTGAACATTATCTAATGCATCTCTTATATAATTATTATTTGAGATATGTTTCTTATTATTAATTATATGATTTAGTAAACTATTATTACTTAAATGATTTGTTATATTTTTATTATTTATATTATTTTTTTCATTTTTAAGAATTGATAAATGTTTTAAAAATTCTTCATTATTAATTTCGTTATCATTCAAATTACTATTTTTGTTACTATTTTTTGTATCTACAACTTTATGATTTATATAATCAGGGTTACTATTTCTAGTAAAATTATGTGCATTATTAAAATTTAAAGTATAACTATCGACATTTGCTAAATTAATACTGTTATTATCCATTTTATTTAAATTCATATCTATTTTAAAATTTGAATTATCATTATTATTAGATGTATATTTACAACTTTCATTATTTATAATATCTTTATCATCATTTTTAAAATAACATTTATTTTCTTTTGAATTATTATTACACAGTAAAGTCTTTTTTATTTCTTGTTTAGAATTTAAATCATTTTTAAATTTCATTATTTTTAAAAATAAATTAGAAAATTCATTTGAATTATTTATATTTTCCTCTTCTTTATTTTTTGTTTTTTCTAAATTATTATCATCATTATTATTAACATTATTATTAACATTATTATTAACATTATTATTAACATTATTATTGACATTATTATTACTAATACTATTATTACTATCATTATTATTACTAATACTATTATTATTATCATTATTATTATTATCATTATCATTATTATTATTATTAATACTATTATTAATATTATTATTATTACTATTATCATTATTATTATTATTATTATTATTATTATTATTTACATCATTACTGTTAATATTATCATTATTAATGTTATTATTGACATTATTATTGATATTATTAATATTATTATTATTGTTACTATCATCATCATTTTTTTTTTTTTTCGACTTTTTATTTTTGTTTTCTTTTTTTTTTTTTTTGTCTTGTTCTTTTTCTTGCTCAGTGAAATTATTTCCTAAATTTTTATTTTCTTTTTCTTTTTCTTTTATTTTAATTTTTTTCTCTTGATTTTTTTCTTCATCTTTAGAACATTCTACTTTTTTTTTTTCTTCCTCTTCTTCTTCTTCTTCTTCTTTCTTATAAGAATTGTTTTTATTTATATCTTTTATATAAAAACTACTCAATTTTTCAATATCTTCAACTCCATTTATATCTTTATTTTTTAAATAATTATAATAAATTAGTTTATCCTTATCTAAATTATTATTAAGAAGAAAATTTTCATTAATATCATAACTATTAAAATTATTTATCAATTGTTTTAATTGATAATTTTGTTTCATATAATCTTTATCTTTTTCTTTTTTTTTTTTTTTTTGCTTTTTCTTTTCTTCTATATTATCATTATTATCTTGATAAGAATTTTGCTGTTTATTATCCTTATTATCTAATTCTTCATAATTATATAATTTCGTATAAATATTTTCTTCTATTTTAAAATCATCTTTACATAGTTTATCAACTAGGTAATCTAAATTTTTATTATTATTTTTATCACTATTTAGTTTTTCAACAAAATAGTCAGTAGTATTTTTGTCATTTTTTACATCATTTTGTTTTTCATTTATATATTCTACATGCTTATTATTATTTTTATTTCTCCAATCAATATCCCAATCATATGCATTTTTGCATTTTTCTAATTTTTTTTTTCTATTAGCATTGATAGTTGTAGATGTAGATGCAGAAATAGTAGAAGTATTTGTAGCAGCAGTATTAGTAGTATTAGTAGCAGTAGTAGTAGTTGTACTTGATGTAATGATTTTTTTTATTTTGATTTTTTCTTTTTCATTTTCATTTCTATTTTTTTTAAAATTTTTTTCATCATATATATCATTATTATTATTATTATTATTACTATCTATATTAATATTTTTGATTTTATAAACACTTTTTTTATTATCCTTTAGGTTAGCTTTTGGTTTAACAGGTTCTTTAAAGAATCCAGGTAAACTATTCTTCCATTTTACATCATATAATTCATTAAAATTAAAACTATTTACTAAATTACCTTCATATGTATATATTTTAAAAGCATTTTCAACTTTCATTCTTGGATAGGTAGATGCAGTCATAAATAACAGACCATCATTTGACCAATCACACAAAACAGTGCAAGCCTCTCTATATTCTTTTATTAAAATAACTGAATTATCTTTTTCTTTATAATAAAAATTAATATCTCCTGCTAAATTTCCAAAACCTCCTAATGCAATCATATTACCAAAGGGACACCATTTAATTGTATTTTTATATTGAGAAAGAAATTTACATTTAACATTTAATTCATGATCGTACAAATAAATAGTATTATCTGATTTACCCTCTATTATTAAAAATTCGTCTTTTATTTTACTCCATTTCACATCTTGTGCAATATTTTCATTTATTCTTTTTATAGTCAAATTTTTTGATATTAAAGAGCAATAATAACAATTACTTAGATATCCATAAGATTTATTAGTTGTATCATTCGTATGAACTAACAATATAACATGTTTTCCACTATTTGACCACATACAGTTTAAATTATCTAAATTATCAAAACTTTTTCTTAATAATAATTCTATTTTTATTATATCTTTATTTAAACATGAATTTTTATCATACAAATTATTATTTATATCATTAACATTTATGATTTTTTCTTCATTTAAATTATTCAGTTTAACATTTTTGTTATTTATATTATCTATTTTTATATTAGTAGTATTCGTATTTTCACTTGTTTCATTTTCTTCTTTTTTTTCATTTTTATTATTTAATCCTCCTATTTTATATATATATATATCTCCTAAAAAATTATTTTTCGTGTGTGCAACAAAATATCTAAATTTTTTTTCATCAACATAAGAAGATAAATATATACTTATAATATTGGGTTGATTCCACGTATATATATAATTAATAGGAACATCAGAATTTTCTAAGTTATCATTATTTTCATTTTGAATTAATTGTAATGTATCATATATATATATATCTGATTTTTTCTGTAAAAAAAAATAGCTATCATCATCAGTAAAATTAATAATTGGCCAATTACTACAACTTTTCTTTTTTATTTTAAATGAACATAAAACATTATTATTCATTACATTCCATACTAATAAATTTCCTAGTTTTAAATGTTTACTTTCTTCATATGGGAAGAAGAAAACAATAAATTTATTATTAGGTGACCATTGTACATGTTTTATTAATTTTATATTATCACAATCAAATAATTGTTTATATTTATTTAAGCATGTAATTTTATTAATTTTTTTATTCTCTTCATTATAATTTGTAATTAATAATAATCCTTCTACTGAATGTAAAATTAGAAAAGAATTTCCATCATATGACCATATGGCATCATGTATACAACCGTCATACTCAAAAATTATTTTACTATTATATTTATTTTCATTTTTTTCAAATTTATACAATTTTATACCACTTTTTGATCTAATAAGCAGTTCGCTCATCTTTTTTTTTTTTTTTTTTTCTTTTCTTTTCTTTTCTATTCTAAATTTTTATTATTAAGATATCTTTATCCTGTTATAATTTATTTTTTTTTTTTAATCACTAAAGTTTAACTATTTAAAAGAAACTTTTTCAAGATAACATAAAATAAAAAAAATACTTTATCTCCAAAATTGATAATATTTACTTCTCTAGCCTTCTTATATTTAATTCTTATGTTCTTCTAATTTTCAATTTTTTTTCCTTCTATTTATTTATTTATTTTTTTTTTTTTTATTTCATAAATATAATTAAGAAAAAAAAAAATACAAAAAAAAGAAAAAATTATTTTTTGTTCTTCATTTAATAAATCAAAATAGTAAATGATTTAAACACTTCA